ATTTTGCATTATTATGAAAATGTAATTTCTTCACACTGTTTTATAAACCATGGTACTATTTCAAACATTCTACAATGAGCACAAAAACGAAACATCTAATTTATTAACAATAATCAATCTTCGTACTCACCTATAAAAGTTACAATTAATGGATTGGCGGGCAAAGAAGTACCGATCTTCTTTGGACTTTTTCATTCCAAATTCAGAAGCCCTGGAATGTGACCCTCCAGCGCTAACACCAATAGTGACTGACGGGTCTACAGGAATATTAAGACCAATTTTCCAGTCATTGGTCACAGATGATGTAGAATCGTTCGTGAGCTGTTCAGCAGAGTCGTAGAGTGTGCTAGAGACCTTCATGGTGCACTTCGGGAGGGTTCTCCAGTCTGTCACAGCAACTGGGACCTTCTGGTACACTCCTGCCTGGTAGCTGTTTCTGTACATTTTACAAGTGCCATTTCCAAGGTTCCATGTTTCAGTGTCGATGACATAAGCCCCCTTCCTCTCCATCGTCACAATGTCAAAGCCCTCTCCACCCAGATTGTAACCTGGTACAAAATGAGCCTTTTCACATTGCTGTGGTGAACCAGTGAAGCTCAAAATGGATGAGAGACTCAGAGGAATCCACATCAAAAACAGAAATATAAGCTGCCACATGTTTGCCATCTACAAGAAAAGAACATAAACGAAACTCAAAACAGATTAATCAGGATGGACTTTAAAATACAAAATGTACTCACTGAACAGGATGGCAATAATAAAAAAATCTAATGAAAAAAAACTTATTTTAAACAAATGAAGGAAAAATAAAGCAGATGAGGGGTATAAACCTTGGTATCTTACCTTCACTGTAGATGGCAAGCTCTGCTCGGTGATTTCCACTTACTTGTTTGATATACAGTACTAATGCAGAGGGAAGTTACTGTGTACAAGTGTGATTCTTGCAAATGTTATATCATTCTATTTTTGCAACAGTTTTTTTCAACCAAAGCGAAATACAAAACAGCTGTAAAGCTGGTGGTAACAGCATATTTAACTTAATCATTTTAATGATCCAATAAAACTTGAAAATATGATACATCTGAAAGTTTTCACTTTAAAACAAACATTCAAAAACATCCATTTCCATCGGGTAACTTCTCCTCAAATCCTTCACCCTCTTTATTCTCACACTAAAATAAAAGATTTTCAACAATGTTCAACAACCTGTTCATCTTTCAACCTTTATAAGACTAATGTTTATTTATGTATTTAATTATCAGGCTTAATTTGTCTTAATGGAAAAGTCCGGTCACATTTAGAATACAAACTTCTGAAAGAATTTTAAGTATGAAGTTATGACATACTTTTCAATAAAGGATAAGTCTTATTCTGCTTCTGTCTCCTTGAACCCCAGTCGGCCTCGGCAGATGGCCGCTCACAATGAGCCTGGTTCTGCTGCAGGTTTCTTCCTGTTAAAAGGCAGTTTTTCCTCTCCCCTGTCGCTACAAGCATGCTTAGTGTGAGGGATTGTATTTGAGTCAATGAGTCAATGCAATCAACTGGTTTTCCTTAGATTAGAAAACTTTGTATCAATTTGACTGGATGATCTCGTTGAACTGTAAAGTGCCTTGAGATGACATGTGTTGTGAATTTGGCACTATATAAATAAACTGAATTTAATTTAATTTATTTATTAATTAAGAGTAGTTTTTATCCATGTTTGTCAGAGAACACTACTGCCACCTAGCGGTTTGTGATGTCACATTGCGGTATCGGTTGTTGAGCAAGTGGCCGTGTATCTGGTGTTTGTCACAACGTGCTATTATCCATGATGGCGAAAACCAGTGCACTATGCGTCGTCTTTTTTCTCTGGCCAGAAGTTCGATGGCAAATCTACCCACTAAGTTGGCAATCCAACGACAAACCCATCCGTGGTGGATCATGAATTCGAAAGGTGAAATTACTCATTTTCTTTTCACTTTTACCCGATGTATTAAGACATTCAATTGCCATGCACATGGACATTGTCCGTTTAACTATAGCTCTTGCGAATTGCAATGGAGAAGTCCTCTGGAAATCTTAAATAATTGTTGTCGATTGCAGATGTGTCTATTTGTTTCCATTGACTTTGCTTGTAAAGTGGAATAAAACACAACAAAATCCTCTTGTCTAGATGTTTTAAACATTTTCAAAAAAATTAGGGCTTTGTGATGCCTTAGCACCACAAAGTCACCACCTGCCGAGGGGACATATACTTCAACATGTTGGAAAGCAAAGGCCATAGCAAGAGTTTTCTTCTCTATAGTGGAATATTGCTGGTGATAACTCAGCCTTTTTAATTAGATAAAGGTCCAGATGTATCTATCCTTGAAGTTTGTAGCTAAAGCGCTCCTCTTTCAACATCACAAGCATCCACGGCAAGTTTAAAAGTGAGGTAAAACTGGAGCTACTAAAACTGTTTCACTTGTCAGGGAGACTGCTATCATTTCAAGTGCTTTGAGACAATCCTGTGACTAACAGAACGTTTCACCTTTGTGAGCAGGGTTGTGAGAGGTGTCGTCATAGTAGCACAATTGACCACAGTGATACAGACACTCCTGACTCACAAAAGCAGTGATCTCTTTTGCTCTCTCTGTCAAATGTCCTTCCCAGCAGCCTTTTAACAGATCTAATTTGGAAACACATTGTGCACATTGTTCATGAAATGAGTAATTGTGAGGATTGCTTTTTAAACTGTATTACAGTTAAAAAGAAACCAGTGAACCTTGAATGCAAACTGTTAATTTATTCTGACTTTTATTTGCGCTTCTCAGCAACTGCCCTGGTTTAATTTGCAAAGAAAGCAAAAAGCTTTTAAATTTGCCTTTTATTTACACTTTGTTGTAAATTCACACCCCAGTCAGTGTTATATTAATTCTAGACTTCCTCTTTCAGAACTATCACATATATTTTAAAGTTTCTCGGAGGCCATTTGGTTTCCTAGGAACACTTAAGATTTTGATCATTAACTTTTCTAATCTTTTCAGTATTTATTTATCTTAAAAGTTAGATGGGAAACTTTATTCAACTAATTAAATGAGTTGGCTGTCTATGGCAGCCTTGCTTCTGTTAGAGAAGCGAAGCTGCCATATACAGGCGCAACAGGGCCCTGTAACCAACATCAGGAGGAAATGCAGGGGAAGTCTCTTGCCCAAGGACACAATGGCACTGAAAGCAGGAGCTTGAAGAGACAACCCTTTGGTTGCAGGGCAAACTCCTTCATCCAACGACACTGAACTTTATTAAAGTTAATTCTGACTCAACCACTCCATTTAAACATTCTAGGAGTAGTTATTACAATATAACCCTGGGTAGGGGGTTAAAATAGTTTATCTACAAGTATAGAGCCTCAACTCATTACAAATATATCTCTAAAAAAATAGGTTATATTTTTACCTTCAAAGTCCAGAGACATTGCTAATTTGTAATAAACACTTAAAATATTAAACTTTAAATGTGTTCAACTCAGTGGTGGGCTTTGAGAGACTTCAAGGCTTTCACTGGTGGCCTAAGATCAATCAGAAACACTAATCTACAATTACAACCTAAACTGTATTAATTTAGTCTAAACAGTCCATTCTCTTGATGTTGTAGTGTTTCTCTTGGCTGCACTGCTTCCATTACGATTATGTGGCTGCTATATTTTTTTGTCCAATCAGAATTCAGGTTTAGTTTGTTGCTATGTCAATCAAATCTGCCCAGAGCCTTCAGAATCAGCAGTGCTGGCTGATTTTACCTTAACAATATTACTGAGGAATGTTTTTTTCAACCAATCAGAATTTAGATTTTCCCCACAGGGCCAGCAAGTGGGCCCACCCTAAGTCATCATTTTCTGTCCTCTGATTGGTCCGTTAGAGAAAAATGTTTACAGCCAAGTTAAGCTAGTGACAATCTGCAATCTAGATTTACTTTTGTTAAAAGTATTTCTGTCCAGAATGGCTGATACTAAATGAAGGTACAAAGACTTCTTGTGAAAAGACAGAAGGATGGATTTTGTTTACAAATAATTAGCATCTTTGGTGAGTGATATATTTTATTTTCATTCTTTATGCTCTATTTTAGCTGGTAATTAGATGCATATGGAATCTAAACGGCTACTGATGATGTAAATGTGTATAAAAATTATGGAGTAGAGGTTTGCCATTGTCTTAACTGGGCTTCCTGCTTAATTGATCTCTGTATTCACTCTCACACTAATAACCCTCTCGGTTAGACGTGCACTTGTTACATTTCATATTTGAATACTATTACTGGTTTATTCTATTAAAATGTGAAAGTAGTGATATTATCCCCTTGACACCCATTACTGCAAATTGGGGATAAGAAGTAGATTAAATTGAGGGGTGCCCACTAAAGGACTAGGCAACATATGCACTGCCCCCCATTGGTTAAACTGACCATTGAGACATATTCGTACCATGGGAATTTATTTATGTAGCTCCAATTGATGACCTTTATTACTGATGCATTTTTTAGGACAGGTCATAAAAGGAAACTATGTCTAACTACTCTTCCATTTGACAGGGTGTGTAATAAACTGTTCACCTACACTGTATTGCACATTTTCAGAAGAAAATATTCCCATTTAAACAAAAGAACAAAAAAAGTACATTGTCTTTTTGGATGCTTTATTGCAGGATTTAGCAGATAGGAAAGAAAAATACATTTACCAGTTAGCATTTATTTTAACAGAAATGAAGATTAATATTTTTTTTACTCCAAAGTTAAAGGATATAATATTTCAAGCTTAAAACAGTTGTGTTTACTGTGCTTGTAACACCATCTCACAGTTCACCATAACGTGATCCAATACCTGGCTTTGAAAACATTTTCATTCTAACTCCAAGCAGATCACTGTTTCTGGTTTAAAATACTTTGGTCAAAGAAGTTAGCATTTAGCATAGATTACTTTAAATGTTGATATCTTTCACAAAAAATAGACAGGAAATGCATTTCGTAAAAAAAAATAAAATAAAATCTTACAGCTTGCCAGAACCTGATGTACTACCTGGCTTTGAAAACATTTTCATTGCATCCCCGAGCAGAACACTATTTCTGGTGTAAAACGCTTTGGTCAAAGAAGGGTCCATGGGGGAGGAAATGTACTCATCGCACCGTTTGCCACCGAGGCTTGGTGCACACTCTACCAGGTAGGTAAAGTAGAACGTACCATGATCAAACATGCAGGTGTCCTTCACAAGCCCTCTACGGAGATCAAAAGAACACTGACCTAGCAAATCACGGTTCCACTGTGTATCCTCATCATAAACAGAAAATTTCAGCTTGTTTTGCATGTTGATAACAATGGGTCCAAAATCAAATTTTTCGAGCCACCTAGGATTGTCATTGTCACTGATTATTTTGGTGCGCTTTAGCTGGTCACCATACTTAACCTCCACTGAACCATCTGTCTCTGACCACGTATCACCATACAAACCCTTTGCAAATAGTTTGTACACCTTCAGTGTTGCGAGACCTTTCCCAGCAGGACAGCAGTTTGACTTGATATTCTGGTTGTTATTACAAACACAAGCACAGGGATCCCTTTTGCTGGACCTGTGTCCTATTTGACAGGATTCAGAGCATTTCTTCAGCACTACATTTCTCATAATGTACTGCTCCACCTCTCGTTTCAGACCATTTTTTGCATGATGATTATCTGGAAGTATCATGTGCAGTGGCTTCAAGTTATACTGAACTACATCAGGTGTGGTTTTAAGAGAGTTTAACCAGTTTTTAAAGACATCAGGCTCTGAATCAACATTGAAAAGTACAATTCCGAATTCGTCACCACCAAGCACTTCTGTGATACGCTCATTAAATTTAGAGCCAAAACTTTGACTGCCATTCATTTTCTTTTTCTTGTCTTTGCAGTGTTTAGCCATGGTGGTTTGATCAGAAATATTAGCAAAACTAGCTGAAGCTTCAGCCCACAAACAATCACTAACTTCCGTCTCTGACAGCCCTTCCATGGTGGCCTTGCAGGTCTGAAAGGCTGTTGTTGCTGCTATTTCCCCTCCAAGATATACCTGTGTTATGTAATGAGTGCCGAAAATATTGATCAGATTCTGATAAGGAGACCTATTTATGGAGGAATATGGCGGGAGAGAATTCACAGCTGATACGAAGTCAGGACTCATAGGAGGAGCTGTGTTGATTCTGTACCTGTGAAGCAAAAAAAATAAATGTAATTACCGGTAGCTACAATCTGTTAACAAGCCAAACTTGAACACATCATTGAGTTCTATGAATCTCTAAACATTACTTTGTGCTAACAGTGTAAGATTCCATCAAATAACCTTAAAGTTCCTTCCTTTTTTAATCTGACTATTAAAGCTGTCCCCTTTAAAATATATATCTTTAAGGTTTATACAGTTCTCAATAATTCCTCTGTGTTATAATGTGTCGCCAGTGTATGTTGTAATTTCTAGAAAAATTTACTCTTATCTTTTGTTTTGTTACCTTTTATGCATTGAATGCACATCTAATGAAAACGGTTACAAGACAAAAATTCTGATGAACTGATTATATAAATGCCTCTTGTTTTAAACAGAACATCTGCCGATATTGTTCTCATTCCCACTGAAATTATTTCTAAATGTAACTATACCACACCATAAACTTGATTGCTAATTTATGTGTACACTCACCTATACAGGTTGCAATCAACAGATTGGCGGGCAAAGCTGTAGCGGTCTTCTTTGGACTTTGCCATGCCAAACTTAGAGACCCTGGAATGTGATCCTCCAAGGCTGAAACTAGCCGATGCGTTACCCAAAGATATGTTCAGACCAATTTTCCAGTCATTGGTCACCGATGATGTGGAATCTTCGACGAGAGATTCAACAGAATCGTAGAGTGTGTTAGAGACCTTCATGTTGCACTTCGGGAGGGTTCTCCAGTTAACCACAGCAACTGGGACCTTGTGATTAACTCCTTTCAGGTAGCTGTTTCTGTACATTTTGCAAGTGCCATTTCCAAGGTTCCACGTTTCCACGTCGATGACATAGGCCCCCTTTCTCTCCATCTTCACAATGTCAAAGCCCTCTCCACCCAGATTGTAACCTGGTACAAAACTAGCCTTTTCACATTGCTGTGGTGAACCAATGAAGCTCACAGTGGATGGGACACTCAGAGGAATCCACATCCAACAAAAGAGCATGAACTGCCAAGCGTTTGCCATCTACAGGAAAACAAAATGATAAAAAAATACAAATTCAGCAGAGGCCACTTTGAATACTTATTTTACTCATTGCTCTAGATGGTAATAGTAACGAAAACTTTTTTCCACATAATTAAAATAGAACATTTTTTATTAAGACAAGAGAAAATTATTGCATTTTACCTTAGCTGAAGACAAACACAAGTTCTGCTGCTTTCTTCAGTAGACAGTATAACTCTAAATTTAATAATGTTGAAGCTGAGGTTGAGTGATGTCACATGTCATCTTCACAGGTTTTATAATTAACAGTTTCATTCAACAGCTACTTTGACACCTAAAGTAAAATGTAAACCCTTTGTATAGTTTTATACCCTTGTGCAGAACAACTGTTGCTAAGTCCCTTAACTGTTGCACTATAAGTTACTGGAAGTTTTCTTAATTAGGCATTAGTGTTGGCTACAGCCCAGATCTGGTTACCTTGGTAATATAGGCTTGTAAGACTAAAAGAGGTAGACGCGGGCCTTGGGTGGGATAAGGCAAGTATAGTACTTTGGATGTTGTTTCACAACTTTATAGACCTACAAGATAACTTTTGGTTGACCACACCCTTATAAAAAGAGGAATCACAGGTAACTGGCTAGCCTGCTTTCTCATTAGTCAGGACCTTAAGTAATAAGCATGCCCACCGATAGGGTGTGGGCAACCTGGTCATTTGTCCTGAGCAAAGGATAGAGGGAGGCGTCTGAACCAGCTCCCACCATTAATGGCCAAGAACATCTTTTTTACCACCTTGTTTGACTTTTCATTTAGATATTTTTTCCTTTTCGTATTTCGGCAAGATGAGTTTCTGCTTCTCTCAGAAGAAAGCCTGCGCTCTTCCCTTTGCGCTTATCATTGTAACTGGTCTGCTACCTTTGAACATGGCCATTTATATGAGCGCATTAACAGATTCATGATTTGAACTGAGTTGATTGATTGATTGACTTTATTGATATCACAGTGGAGAAATTTACTTGTTACATAAGTTCAAATAGTCAAAAAGAAGAAGGTGCACAAGGGTATTAACAGTATATACAGTGCAATATATATATATATATATATATATATATATATATATATATATATATATATATATATATATATATATATATATATATATATATATATATATATATATATATATATATACCTGGGATGCTTATCCCCCCACCCCTTTTCAACAACTGTTTATTAACTAACAGTAATTTCAAAACAGAACAGTAATGGTCTTTTTTTTTTTTTTCAATACTTTCAATCTTGTAGCATTGAACATCGGTCATGCTTTCTGTTTTTCCTGGGACTTCAGCATACAGTGCACCTCGCCATGGTGACATCATTCCTTACCATGGCCGGTTCAAGACAGGGGCCAACAGGGGCCAGTGCCCCTGTAGATCATGTCCTGGCCCCCTGTTATGGCCCCTGTACTGAAAACACAATATTTAAAAGAAATTCTAATGATGATCTGCACTGGAACAGACATGGTTACTGATAGGTCCTTTGGATCTATTTCATTCTTTTTCTTTTAAAATTCTATTTTACTAATTATTCAAAAACCTGTTTTTTCCCCCACTACAAATAAAAAAAAATGCTCTAATTTTTACACATGAATTTAACAGTTTTTCTTGAGTTCTAATTCAAATTTTATAGAAAACGGTAGTTTTAACTTCAAATAAGTCAAAAACATGTAAAATTCATAAATTATAAATGTATATTGACCTCATAAGAAATGGAATTTTTTTTAACCTAATTGAAAAGATATTTCACCTCATACCGCCTTATTAATATATTGGAATCCCTTGCCCTATTTCTTATTTCATGCTTTTCTGTGCCCCCATGAAAACACACTGGCCCCCTCCTTGCCCCCTGATTGATCCAATCAAACTATTAGTCAGCACCTGACTGATAGTCTAAAATCCGCATAGTCTAAAATCCGGGATCATTTATTCGACTCGCGGCATTCTGTGAACAACTATCTATATCAGGGAGACTCCTGGAAAGCTGAACAGAATTGATGGTATCCCTGATTTGGTTACTAAGAGAACTTATTAATAATAATCCTGTTTAGATGTTCTTAAAATTTGTACTTATTTATTCTTACATCCTTTCTTTCTAGATTCTGTTTCTATTGACCTCTATGTTGTGGGTTCTTGTTTTTTTGCAGGCATTCTGCAGTCCTTTTGTGATCCAGTGTGTATTTACCCTATTTGCTACATATTTTATGATATGTATATTAGAAAACGTTTTGTAAACTTTATTCATGTTTTTCTCCTGTAGTATAAAGTTCCAGTTTTGACTAAGCAGGTCATTTCTAAATGCAATGAGTCCCTCATTTGTTCTCATTCTCATGTAATTTTGTTTGTTGTTCTTGGCAGATTTCCTGTAACACTTATTAAACACAAACACCTGTAGATTCTGATATCCTTAAAGAAGAATTCACTGATTGTCTTGTTTTCCATAAGGTTTGTAAATTTACTGTATTGATAATATGGAACTATGAATCGACACCCTACTGGGTGTAGAGATTAAAGGTTTCAAGCTGTACACCTATTCCTTCAGTCAGTTCATGCCTTTCTGAAAAAATAAAATAAAATGCACATGCACAATCCTGTACCCACACCCGAGAGGGAATGCCTTTTAAACGTGTGTGAGAGCATGCACAAGCCCATTTCTACTCGTGCACGCTCTGTTTAAAATTTGCTGTGTGCATCGCTCATACAAGCTTACTTTCCAAAAAGAAACTCAGACTCACCCTCCGGTAACTGAAAATAAGGACAAGCACATACGACAGCCTTATGTAAACATATCACCAGAATGATTGATAATTAGGAGGACCACTTATTTTGATGATCCACCTGGAAAAAGAACATTCTCCACTGTACCTTTAAGGAAATCAATAGTCAGTTCTTATTTGATGTGGTAATAGACTGTGGTGATGTAATATCATATGATTGTCATTATGCACATCAAATTTAGAATTTTGGATTATCCCTGTAATTGTTGCCTCTATCTCTCTCAGAAAAATGTTTTAACTTGTTTACTTCTAGATTTATGCATTAATGATGAGCTTTAAAAATTCTACTAGAGAATTTTGGCTACCTGGAATGAAAGAATAATAGATTAGTGTGATATCCAGCTGTATGGATTATACTGATGGCTCTTTTCTGCAGTGTGCATAGTAGTTTGAGTGATCTCCTGAAGGTGTTGATGCCAAACTATACAATAGGTATGGTAAAAGCAGTGAACAGTAGTGAATGTGTAATACTTCTGGGCAAAACACTGTGAAAATATAAAATATTTTGCTTTACAAAAACTAGAAATTTTTCTATATAGTTATATATGGTTGATGTGAGGCTTCCAGTTGATTTTTAATCAGTAATCAAAACTAAGACTTTTTTTCCACTTATATCAAAATATACTTTAAATTTTACATCTAAATATTCTTGATGAAATTAAAATAACATGAACTTAGTTCTCTAGAACTAAAGGAATTTTTTGGCAAACCTGTTTTTTAGCTCTCACCTATACAGAAAATATTTGTATCATCTGAAAGTAAACAAACAGTTACACTGAGCCCTGAAACCTAAAATGTGTCATTTGTGTAAAAAAAAAACAGTATTGGTCCCAATAGTGACCCCTGGGGGACACCACAAGGAAAGTCCAAGCATGACCATAAAAGTCCATTTTATGATCCTTACGTAGCTGTTCATCCACTCCAGTGCCAAATTTTTTTTATCCAAACAAACAAACTGCAAACTTCTTTTATCAATAGAGCTGGTGATTTCATGTATTAATCCCTTGACTGCCAACACTGAGGATCACTGTGATCTGAATCCATATGGACTTTAATATAACAGACTATATTCTGTTATATTGAAATGTCACTGATATGTTTTGGAATTTGATCAAACACTTTATTATTTGACCATTTTGATGACAGCCTGTATAATTATAGTATTATCATTAATTTCAGAAGCCTGAGGTCTTTCTGGGCCCCTCAAAAGATATAGTCCTTCCAGCATGTTCTGGGATGCCCCCTGGGCCTCCTCCTATTGGGACGTGCCTGGAACACCTCCCTAGGGAGGGAGGTAGTAAGGGTGCATCTGAACAGATGTCCAAACAACCTCAGCTAACTCTCAATAGAAAGGAGTAGCAACTCTACTCTGAGCCTCTCGCAGATGGCCAAGCTTCTCACCCTATCTGTAATAGAGTGTCAGGCCTCCCTGAAAAGGAAGTGTATTTCCACCCCTTGTATCTCAGGTCTAGCTTTTCTGGTTATGACCTGCCTTTGATTTCCATAGGTGAGGGTAGAACCATAGTTCAATTGGTAAATCGAGAGCTTTCCTTTTGAATCAGCTACCACTTCACCACAATACTGGTTGTGGTGAAGAGGACAGGAATTCCAGAGATTCCTCCACTTGAGGCGGGAACCCTCCTCCAACATGAAGAGGGAAAGTCACCTTTTTATAGTTAAAACCGTTGGCTTGGCTTGAAGGCTGATCGTCATCCCAGCTGCTTCGCACTTGGCTACACATCACCACAGCACATGCTGTAGGTCTTGGCAGGAGGGAGAGAGCAGAACCACATTACCCCTAAAAGCTGAGAAGCAAATGTGTTGTAAATAAATATACTGTAGTTAGGCCAACCCTTCATAATTACAATTCCATTTACAAAGGATTCCCTTTCTTTGAATAACATTGTAGATGATGAAGCATCTACATTAAGGGCTTTCAGATGGCAAATATTTTTTTCAGGAAAGGTCCAATCCATTAGCTTTTCTTGGCATTTACCTGCAAAAGCATTACCATGACTACATGTGCATATGTCACAGACTTAAACTACTGGTTCTGCACATGTTACAATCTTAACTGATGTTTTTAAGTTAGAAGTTGTTATTTGTTATTGCTCCATGAATCTACTACCAATCTTCTGATCTTTTGAAGAAAGCTGCAGACATATATGTGGCTGGATTACTTACATCTTACTTAACTTATGCTATGGTCACACTGCAAGCAAATGTGACCCAAATCCATTTTTTGTGTGGATATGCGACTCATGTCCAACTTTTTCACACATTCTGGACAACCCGATTCCAATGTTTTCAAAGCTAAATAAAAAAATCCAAATTGTGTCCCCTCCATACGTGGTACTTTGGGTTGCATTGATGTCCTCATCAGTTCAGACTGGATGGTTGTCATATACAACTGGTGGTATGCATGACATGTAAAAATATCTGTATTTAGACAAAAATGAAATCATAATTGAGAACCGAGACCTGGAGTTTGACAGGAGACATATTAGCCGTAGTTGCAAAATCTGAATCAGAATGCCTTTATTGTCATTATAAGCAGTCCAAGAAAGTATCTGTACAAAGACAAAGTAGAAACAAAAACATGGAAGCATGAAATATATAACATAATATTAACAACAGCGTTGTGGTCAAGACCACCTAACCCGAGACCAAGACAAGACCAAGACTTTTAGGGTCCAAGACCAAGACTTTTAGGGTCCAAGACCAAGTCAAGACCAAGACCAGTGCGAGTATGTGACAATAAAATGTGAAACATGATCAAAATCACAAAAATTTATCTAAAAGACCCACATTCACATAAAAACACCTAGATATTTAACACACAGAACTGGACTAAACATTAACATCTTTATTTAGTACTTCTGTGTAGTAATCGCTGAATTTCAAACAATTAATCAAAGTCGATCAAAATTGTATTTTCTCTGCCGTTCATGAACAGTACATACATTTATGTTGTTTTTAAATGTGCTAATTCAAAACAATGTGCAAATGTGTAAAACTGAAAAAATGCCAATCATTTCTCTTGTTTCTCTCTCATATACAGATTAAAGCCATATTATATATCTTTTCTTAAATAAATCTCTATCTGTCACCAAGTTGTGAAATATGTTATGAGACAGATAATTAGTTGAAAAAATGCTTCACTGCATTTACCAATGAGACAGGTTATTGCTTGGATTTGAATCCAAGCATCCAATAAAAAGAAGCAGATAAGAAGCAGAAAGAAACAGATAATATTCTGATGATTAGTGTTATTTCCACAGTTGTGGTCTAGACCGGTCTTGAAATAAAATGCCGAGTCCTCAGCGTCCGAGACCGAGACAAGACCGAGACCAAATGCGGTCAAGTCCGAGACGAGACCGAGACCATCAAAAAAAATACAACACTGATTAACAGTCCCGAGAAATAAATGGGGTATGTGTATATATATATATATATATATATATGTAATGAAATATATATATATATATATATATATATATATATATATATATATATATATATATATATATATATGTAATGAAATATATATATATATATATATATATATATATATATATATATATATATATATATGGAATAAATCTAAATATATATGCAACAAATATGATATATATGCATTGATCATCGGACATCAAGGTGGGCTTTATCTCTTATCCTGGATAAAGGCCTCTGGTTCCCTGTTATGCACCTTTCAGGCCCATGAACTATTTTTCTCAGTTGGCTTTGCTAATTGGACACTAATTACAAATAGTTAAAACCGGAAAGCTTACAACCCCTTAAATAGGTTATGTGTGCAACAAGCCAGACATAAGATCATGTTTCTTAGCTTCCTTTTTTGACTGTGGTTAAATGTACTTATACATACCCCCAGTTGAAAGTTATATAATGACTGTTCTAGGAAAAGATTTTCTCTTTACTCCATTCTTTTAGCATCAAATAGCATCTATTTAACTTTGCCCCTCTTTTATCAAGGTGAAAATTCACTTAGATTTTTTTAAGCCATAATTTGTGCTCTGAAGTCTCAAATGACATTGACTGACAGTGTCATGCAAGATGCATTGTACAATCTACAGCATCTGGATGAATTATTTAAAAAGTAGGGTACTGAAAAATAACGTCTAGTTTGAATGAAAGTAAGCTGAAATCTAAATCTAAACCTTCGGCTTATGTGTAAGCCTATTGTTTCTATAGCCTAGTTGTGTTTGTTTGTATGACTGTTTATATTAAATATTATCTTAAATTAATATAAACAGGTGCCCTCATCCCTTATTCAAATTCGCTGAAGATATTTGCTGCATATTTTTTCCTGTTAAAAAAAGTAACTTGAATTAATCAGTCTTCTCACCAGAACTGTGTTTTAATAGTTTGTTTTCCTCTTTCTTCCAGCCCTGAACGGCAAAGAGGCGGGTTAACGCAGCAGAGGTCACCACCTCTGTCACAGAAAGAGGCGCTGTTAACAAGAAATAAAAATCCCCAGTTAACCTAATTCTTTCTCCTTTTTTTTTGTTGAGCGGGAAACCATTGCATACTGGGGAAATCCATGTATGTTTAAAAGAACATAAAAAATATGCATTTGAGGGATATTGCACTTTTTTTCTTTTTATGTGTCAACTACTAGAAAGTCTCTGTATAAGCCAAAGCTATCAAAAAAGATTGACTTCTTAATTATGCATTTGATATTTTATACAATGTGATTAAGTCCCAGGTGAGTAAGTTAAGCAGTATCAGATGGTGGTGGGTGGAAATGATAGTCAAACGAAGTGAAGCGATGAGCATTTCCTGTGCAGCAGTGAAACCCTGCACTTTTTCACTACTGCAAGTTTGCAAATGCATACTTCTTGGAGGAAAATTTAACAAATGTCTCTGCTAGTCAACCCATAGCATGATTGCACAATTTGATTTTAAATTCTTTAGATAATCTTGTTTTCATAAAGATTTATTATAAGCAATTTGAAAAATTTGAAAACTTTTAAACCACTGATAATACAGTTTTATTTATTTATTTTTTTGTTTTAGAGAAGGCATGCTTCCCTAACATCTTTTACAACTTGTTTGATATGCATGGACTTTGTTGTTTGAAATTAAGGATTGCCACTATTATTTTCAACTTCTTAGAAACTTAACAGAAAAAAAAAATGAAGTCAGGCAATTAAGTACAAAATAAAAGTCTACATATATATTACCATGAATTAATTTAGCTATTAGCAGACAAAAGTGCTAGAATCAATATTTGTTAAATGAGATGCCAACTTAAACTGTATAAAATCTCTCGAAAAAGTATTCAAACTAATAAATGATCAGTGGTTTTGTTTTCCTTGTGTTACTTCCTCTTTTACAGTGATGAAGTACCATGAAGGCAATAACAGGACTATTCTGTATTATGCTCTAGTGAGTTTGATTGACAAAACAAAAAACAGAAGAAACAGCCTCGTTTCTTTATATTTCCCTTCTGAACTGTTTTCTTTTTATATAGCAAATATACTAAAAAAAAAAACATTTTTTCATATGAAAACATTTTGGATCTATTTTAGAAAATGTTCTTCTTGATTATATTTTTATTTCTTATATTTAATATTATATGTTTTTTTAGGCCTTATAAAAACTATTTGTAATATCGTCAATAAATCTTTTATTACAACCACAGAAGTTCCAAACTTCAAAACTTAAAGGCACCCTAATGTAATTCATAGTTGAAGGTGCAATAAATAATATTGCAGTTCTCCTCTATAGTGTGTGTGGAGGCCTGCACATGCGGCGCATGTGACCTTAGTGTTGCAAATCATGCTGCTGTCACTGGATGGCTGATCCAGGAAAGTAAATTGTTGATGAAAGCTGTGGTACATAAATATTGTAATTTATGAAAGCTATAACTCAAAGAACTTCTGTTTTCGGTTCTACTCTGGGTGAAAAAAAAAATAACAGCACTTTAATCCCTAAAATATACAAGTTGCAATTATTGCCATATGTGTTATCTTATACATTGATAGGGCATTACTGATGATAGGGCAAAGGTAACAATATTGGTTATGTCTTTGTAACTGCATGGTTTATAGCTTGAAAGATTCTGTATCAAGCAGGAGAAATGCACAAACACGGGGATTTGAGTGTAGCACTTCCAATCGGAGGTGGTTAGAATCTATCAATGGTAACGAGAAGGAAAGGTGGTAAACTAACAGATCATTAATGGCCAGGTCTGATTGATGTTCAGGAGCAGCAAAAGCTGGCCTGTGTAGTCTGATCCAACAGATAAGCTATGACAGCTTAGATGTCTTAACACAAAATGCATCACAGCTTGTTGTGCATGGAGCTGCAAAGCCATGGAATATTTAGGATGAACTCCAAAAACGAACACAAAAGCATCGGAGCTGGACCATGGAGTTATGAATAATGATTAACTGTGTTCTCTTTTATATGCAACAGATTTGGCTACTAGGGGAAAACAAAATTTAAAAAGAAAAATTCAGTTACAATTTATATTTTATTATATATTTGATATTTTGTTTTAAATACACTAGATGGCAACATTTCTGACTTATGTTGAACAATTCTGTTTTATTGATTACATAATTCTTAAGATCCATGACTAAAATGATCTTCTGGTAGCAGATCTCAGCTTCAAATATTAGGTGGCTTAGTTGGTCTGGGCTGTTTTTGGGGTAAGTAGGGGAAACTACCCTAAAAGTTGTTAAAATGTCATGCCTCCTTACATTTCTTCTAATTCATCCCTCAGTGAATTTCACAGTAAATCATCATGACATAGAATATAAAGGCATCCCCATGCCTGCATTCAGGTAGGAGATACAAAGCGTTGGGTTTGCTGCTGGAACCCACTGTTGTTTCCATTTCAGAGATGCACTTTTCCACGTGTTAATTTGAAAAGAGAAACAGGATGTAGGTAATCAGCTTCATCTCTCTGGGGGTTAAGCAAGAACACTCCCACAAACTGATCCTAAGAAGTAACATTTAAATGATCTGCAGCACCCAACAAATCTTGTCCTAAAATAAATGTCCCCTGTGCAACATGATATGCTGCACAGCCAATCATTTGGATGTCTGATTTATTACTCCTGCCTGAGAAAAGGGAGCTGCTTTTCATGAGAATTGGAAGGAGGAGGAGGGAGATAGCTTTGTTTGCTCTAGTCTTATATTGTGGTCATTTGCACCTACATTTAGTGAGACAGAATGAGCACGACTGCAACCTCAAAAAGGAAGTAGGTGAGTAGGCGAGGTTTATTTTTCACGGCACAATCGTTTCAAAACTTTATTCCAAGAAATACTGTTTTCGATTGTTTCAGTAAGAAGATGAAGCACAACGACAAGAAATAAAGAAGACAAACTTTAAGCTTCTGATGATTCTTTTGTGAGTTTTTCAGCCTTGTTTTGATGGCTTTCTTCATAACCTCCGCCAGACAGGCTTAACTCTCATGTTTTGTTGGATTCTGAGGAGATATTACCACTTGAAGCTATAAGGATTAAACCTTGGACCTGTATTGGCCTCACAAAGGCTGAATCTCCAGGAAGTGAAACTGAAGGATTAATTTCAAAATTATAATCTTTTGCATGTGGACACTGGATCGACAGATTCGAAGGAGTGACAATGCCTGTGATTGTTCTTGAGGCTCGAGACTTCACCAGTCCACTATTTCTGGTGCGAACATTGGAAGTCTTCTCCAGTTGCATCGCCTTTAGTCTTGTGGCCTCAATGAAAGGTGAAGGCCTGAACCCTTCACCTGATTCCGTCACCTTCAAGATTTTCTGTATGTTTACCTGGTGTTTCTTCTTTGTGGTTACTCTCCTCATACACATTATCACCATCATCCAGTTCCACAGCCTCCTCCCGATATCGTGGAAGAACCTGACCATGACGGTTGCGTTGTTAGGGGTGCTGATGAACTTCAGCTCCTCCGTGGTTTTTCCCTGGAAGGTCATGGATCATGATGTTGTAACTACGCACGGTTTAGCAGCTGCAGTTGGCTCTGGTCTCACCTTCTTGGTCTACGCCTCTGAGTGTTGTGTTCTTCGCACCCAAGCGCACGAACAAAGAGGCTACATAAGCAGCTTCCCTGGTTTTCTTAAGATAATCCAACTGTGGGGAGGTCTACAGATGATACCTCTGATGGTGTTAATCTCCAAGTTGGAGACTGGAGGTCACTGGCAGCTCTGGGTGTCTTGCGTCTCATATGGCATTTGCGTCTTCATATCTCTCATCACCCTGGTAGTGATACTGGGTGACTTTGCGGGACAATGCCTACTGCCATTTGACAGATTTTTGGCTGCCTTCAGCTTGATCGGTGTGCTCCTCTACATGTTGGCCACAGTGATTTGTTTCACCAAGATACTGCAGCTGAGAGAGGAGAAATCCAAACAAGATAACCTAAATCTGGTCACCGTGGAAACAGTGTTTTCTAGTATCACACTATTAGCTTACACAGTGGACCTCGCCTTTTCCATCAAACTGTTATGTGACAGGAGTCACATTTAAAGATCGCTGTGAAGTTTGTAAAATATTCTTTATGAAAACTGAGAGAAAGAAAATCAAACTGATGGGCATTTCTGCTCTTAATCATTGCTGTCATGTCAAACTATCATTTTGAACCCAAATCATTGACTTTGGTCGGTTTACCGCTGGTGCTACTTGTGGTGAGGAAACACTTAAGTATCACATTTTACAAGTTCAACTTCAACTGTTATGACAACAGTGTTGATTCTGTTACAGTTTTCCTTAATTGCATTTGTATCGTAACAAAAACAAGACATAATATTTCAGAAGAATGACTTATTATAAAAAACATGATGTACTTTTGACAATTATGAGTAGAAAGAAGATGAGATTTTTTGGGAGGGAAATGAACTCCCTTTAAATGTACCTTCTTACACTGCCAAATCTTGAAAGAATATTGCAAATATTCCCTAAATAAACTTTTTCTTAATATTTTAGCAAACAAAATATAAAAAAATAACAACTTTTAAATGCCCTCTTCCTAAATGTACTATCATGTAACCGAGTGAGGCTTAAATGTCTAGGGCTTGCAAGATATTAAATAAATCCAGTCATTATTTTTAAGTTGAAATTAAGGTTTCAGAATTAATGCTTGTTAAAAATGCTGGTAAAAAGCTAAAAGTAAACCAATTCATTGAGCTCAGACCAATCTGAAGAATCTGCTTAGTAACTACGAATTCAGGAAACCGTCTCGTCTTCAACGGATGCCCCAATAAAAGCATAATAAATGAGCAGGAAATAATTATTTTCTCATAAGAAAACTGGACAATCCAGATCGGGCCAATATCTGCCATGAGTGTTGTGCAGTTGTAACCTGACAACAGCCAGATGCATGTCTAGCTAGGCGGAGCTAGACATGCATCTGGCTGTTGTCAGGTTAGTGCAGTTGTGGAAAGGTTTGGAAAACTTTGCAATCGTTGACAGAACATTTATCTGGTGTTTCCTGACGAAAGGGGGAATAAGGCTTTGTACACCTTACTTTTCGTGTCTGCACTTCTTCATAATATTTAGAAACTGAAACTAATAGTTCTCCTAATTCAATGACAGGTTTGTTGATAATTCTGAAATAGCAGCTTATTCTGAACAATGTCCTTACATTTAATACAGTTCTCTAGTAAATGGTCCTCTTTGCCACAAATTAATGTTTTCTTTACAGATGTTCATACATAGGTTCCCTTACTAAGTTGTAACCAATTCTGCAGTAAAATACTTTATTACTGAGGTTTAGTTTGGCTTAGCTCTCATAGGATAACATACTTTGGTAAAGGTTCCAGCGTGAGAGTTTTTAACCAATTAATCTTAAATTGGAGGTGTTTTACAAATCTTGTGGCAAGTTAAAAACACTTTATTTCCAGACACAGATCTAATTAGTTTGCTTATGTCAGGTATAAATCCACATGAGTTAACTTATGAGATTGCTTTTATCGTTTTATGGAAGAAGTACCAGGTGAGGTTGGTGTTTTCTTAAGTGTAACAAAAAACTTGACAACTATAGACCACCGAACTATGTCATAGAGTTTAACTAAGGGCTAAAAAGGGATTGGTTTTATTGCTCCAAGATAAATATGTGTTTCGCACACTATATAGTATGACTTGCTTATTGTTCAATTACTAAATGTGGACGTAGTGCATTTCTAAATATGTTGTCATAAAGACATATGTATCATTGATCAGCTGCATTATATGACCCTTAAATTAAAGCCATTTGTTGTAATATATATTTTAGGGAACCATTTGTTTTTGTTCAGAACACAAAAAATATTGCACCATTGTAATTACCATCAATCATCACTTGATGGCAGTGGCCTGTTTCCATATTTTATTTTTGGAGTTCACTTTCAATGAAAAATGTTGATTGTCTTTCATTAAAAATAATAACTCAAAATGTAAGGATTTTGATTTAATAAACTCTTCCAACGTTCAAAACCACATTTGTCCACATAATGTATGTTTTTTACACACAGATAGCTCAAGTTATTGGTTAAAAAAAGACTAGTATAATATAAATGTAAGCTTTTTTGAGTGAGAAATTTTCTTTTTAATGTCAAAGTCAAAATGGATTAATTTAACTGTGAGTCAGTGAAGCTTTTAAATATTCCCAAATGTTGTGCGGTATTCATTGTGCCTAATGTGTGCATCTCACGTTTAAAAGGGAATTTAAAACAGTTGTTTATCTGAAAATCTCTCTCTATATAAAAAAATAAATAAATAAAAAACATACATATCATTTATCATGCACAGAGATTCAACTGAAATTTTGCCCATGCATTTCACAATATCCTCCTTCCATGTGCATTACTGTGCATTGCTGTGTTGTATGAAAGTGGTCAGTCCTAAATATTTTATAGGCTTTGGTTATTTCCTTAGCTTTTACTTTCAATTAATAGTATCTGCGTACATACTATATATGATATTCAAAACAGCTTCTTAGATTTAGACAGTTTCTTAGGAGTACCCTTTTGTGTCATACTCTGCTTGTATAGCATCAACAATGTGTGTCAGCTGGACAGTTATGTCATCATGCCTATGATTGTGCAGCCATAACATGTCAGTTCTATATTACGAAATATTTTATAGAGGTTTATTGTTTACAATTGGGAAGTTCTAAATCTTGCTTTTTCGTTGGTTATCTGACACATTATGGTCGATATAGAAACACAAACTACGTGAAATCAGAGGCGTAGCCAGAACATTTTTATAAGGGTGGCCAGGCAATAACCAATGGAGACAGAGGGGTGGCCGAAAGTAGATAGGCACCAAAATCTCAGGGTCAATCTACACTGTTCCAGGAAAATGAACGAGCAAAACATCCATATTTTCTAGATAAAGACAAACTATACCTTCCCACAGCTTTTGCTAACAAATTGATGAATATATTCAAATACCCGTGCTTTCTAGATAGAAGGCATAGTGGATAAAATTCTTTCAGGTTTGAGTTTTGGGCAAACATCTTTTCCATTGTCATTACTTAATCACAAAAATTAATATATCTGCATTAATTGATTATTGAATAAGTTTTTATGAAAATAGTTATTTACCATAGAGAGCATTCTGACCAGCTGTCTTACTCTGTGGTATGGAGGCTGCTGCGTCTCAGACTGGAAGAAAGTGAGGAGAGTGGTGAGAACAGCAGAGAAGATCATTGGGGCTCCTCTTCCCTCTATAAAATACATTTCATCCCAGCACTGCTTGTCCCGAGCCTGTGACATCATAAATGATCCCTCACATCCCCACCATGGACTGCTCTACCTACTGCCCTCGGGGAAGAGACTTGGAAGCATCCAATGCAGCTCCAGCAGATTCCACAGTTTCTTTCCCATTGCCATTAGACTGCTGAATTTTTTGTAGAATAGGTTATTTTATTATTATATTTATTATATTTGATCATTTAGATCATTTAGTTTGAACTGTACATTTACAGTCATTTTTACTATTTTTCAAAGCTGTACTTTTGGAAAGATGCAATTGTCCAGTGAGCTGTTTTCAAACAAAATTTATTTTTGTTTTACACTTGTGTAAACAAAATGACAAAGAAAATCTGTCTACAAGTCTAAAGTCTTATCTATAATTTCACTGAAGACTCCTAGATGACTTGCAGAGACACATCATTTTCTCTTTACCCGATAAAACACAATATCTATTTCTGCTTGAATTCTGTATTTATCATCTTTAATTTTAGTATATTGATGTGCTTAATTACCCACAGTGTTTTTATTGTCAAGTAATTGTTAATATATGAAAAATTTTAATGTTTTGAATCTTCCACTTGAGAGTATTACTGTTGCCACTATCTGAATTAGATGGAAACAATGGTAGGGGTGGTTACAGGGGTGGCCAATGATTGGCTAAGGGTGGCCATGGCCACCCCTGGCCCCCAATCTAGCTCGCCCCTGCCTTAAACTTTGCCATAATAAAGGTTTCACTGTTAAAACTATTGACTTTTTTTTATTAATTTGCTATAGACTAAGTCACAAAGATGAACCTGTACCCTAAATTCATCAAAAAAAAAAGCTGTAATATTTCTTTCACCAGCATAGGGTAACAGTAGACTTGACTTATTTGCATTTTACTGTTTACAACTCACATCTGCATCAGCGGCTTCAAGACCATTTAGTCGCTTTATCGAAAAATCGATCGCTCAGTCCTCACACAGCAGCATACACGATGGGACCAACTCTAGCTCGATTGCTTTGGTCTTGGAAAAAACTCCAACGTTTACTTCTTCAAGGAACTGAATCCCGTCACAGGCTTGTCAACAGGCACAGCGACAAAACGAGGCGTGAACAATACGTGGAGCTGAGAAGCATTTCTAAACATTTTAGCATCCGAATCTGGCAGTTCGTTTGGGATTTTGTTCGGAAACATCCAGGCCACAATGAAGAGCTTTATCGGTGAGTGTTGCCTTTACGTTCCTTTTTAAAGCGTGGGAGAATTTGTGAGTTTGTATCGGCCAGATGAGCGCTTTAAAAACCAGCATGGGAGCTAAATCGACATTTTTAAAATTTACATCAGTGCTTTATAGGCTTAGTTGTAGTCAGGTTTAATCTAATAATGGCTAAAAGTTGTATGACTTTTCATTTTGTTTTGGGCTTGATTTCACAGCTGCTCCTTAACACCAGCTAGTTTGACGAGTTGCTTTTCTCAAAGCCGGAAAAAGTATGTTTAAAGTACAAAAGGTATTAGTCCAGTTGATCCTCTCTGTTTTAACCACGGGGAAAAAAGCTTTTTATTTGCCATATGGATTCTTGGTGGTCCACAATGCTGGAAATGAAAGAGCAAGAAACTACCTCCAGTCTTTGAATCTATCTATATTCAAAGTATTTGAAGCAACATTGATTATTCTTTTTTATTTTTTTATTTACCTAAAGTTATTTTAATATACAGTGCTTCAACTATGTCTATTGGATACCAGGGATTTTTTTTTAAGATTCCCACAGAAATGCTGTATATCAACCTGTTTTTTCTTTTGAATATTTGTATAAACACAACTTTTTAAGGGGATTTCATCTCCAAGGAATTAAAATTCAATTCAGTTTATTTATATGGTGCCAATTCACGACAAATGTCATCTCAAGACACTTTACAGTTCACCAGATCATACAGTCAAATTGATTAAAAGTTTTCTATCTAAGGAAAACCAGTTGATTGCATCGACTCATTGACTCAGATGCTACACTAAGCATGCTTGTAGCGACAGTGGGAGGAAAAACTCCCGTTTAACAGGAAGAAACCTCCATTAGAACCAGGTTCAGTGTGAGCAGCCATCTGCCGAGACCGACTGGGGTTCAAGGAGATGGAAGCAGAGATACAAAAGCAACTGTAAAAAAGCGTCCCCATCCAGGAAACACACAGTCAGGCAGACAAGGATAAAGACAGCACATCTTAACAAGTTGCAGATGTGTTGTATTAACAAACTGGAGTTTGAATAGCAGTAAATATCGAAATAAAGGAAAAAGGGCAACCTATCGCTGAATTGCAATTGCATCAACGCAGGCAATGTTTTCCAAAAGTTCAACTAAATGAATGCGTGACTAAGGGAGATTTTAGTTTTATCTTGCAGTTTTTATTATGATATACTTTTTTTTTATTTCAAAATGTGTTTCTCAGAAGCCCTATGAGCTCTGCGGACATAAGAAACTTGACTCTTCTGTAAGCAGATGAAAGTCCCAGGCTGGATTGAATGGCCTGCAGTATCCAAGGTAAGCACTTAGCCAGTACATTTGAACTCATTATTGATCGGTTTCCTGTGCTGCAAATGACCTGAGAGGGGGCAAAGTCTATGTAGAGAGAGAAAAGATAAGGGGAGAGATAATGGGAAGGAGGAACACAACTCTGAATAGTGAGTATGTAGAGGGGTTACGTTAAAACTTGGATGTTAATTCTGCCAATAATGAAATCAAGTCTTATGCCATATATGGGATCAAGTAACAGAGTTGTTTTTCATTAGAATATAGAAGCAGTCTGAAAATTTCAAGGGTTAATATGCTTTTAATGATTTTATTATTTATTTGATCTTTTTTTTCACTCTTTGAGTTTTCTACATTTTATATGGAACACACAAACTTAATGTGATGTATTGTTACTTTATTTTATTACGATAGAGCAGTGTTATGTTGTGCTATTCTAAAAAGATCATGAATAGTTTATAACGGGAAAATCTGAGGATAGCCTGCATGTTTATTTATCCCCTTATACTATGATGCCATTAATTAAATGAAACAACTGTAAGGATATGGTTGTCCAACTAATCTAAAAGACCTTTTAAGCAGGGAATATACTAGAAAAGCAACCAAGAGGCCCAATAGTTCCCCTCTATTGTATTAATAGCTTCTACTTTTTCTTTGCCTGTCACATAAAAAAACTGGTGTTTACTAGTTGACAGGTCTGGATGTTAACATTTTAACTGCTGACACCAAAAAATATTACCTTTTGGATTTATTGTGTCTGAGGTATAAAAAAAGCTTCAAATTTCTTAATAAGCACTAATTCCTTTTTTGCCTGTGAATATAAAACAGAGTTTATATCCTAAGGCTATGCACCAGAATTTGTTAAATAAACAAAAAAAAAGCAAAAAATAAATATGGCTTTCATTAGGTTTAACTTATTAGATGACCATTTTCCCTCTGAATTTTTTGGTGTTTGTTTTCCAAACTCTCCACTTTATCACTATTTGCCACAGCTCAAAAAGTTATGCTAACAACACTGAGAGTAAGTGGGAGGTCAGGCGCAGCTCTTTCATTACACAGTAAATCCTTGACTTTTTAGACATATCGGTCACACGGTGATGATGATGATGATAAGGCGATACGGGTTTTACTGGAACAGGTCATGAAGGGAACTAATAGAAAAGGCTAGAGTTCCATGCTTTGCCTTTATTAAACCATACATATTGGACAAATGAATTACTTCTTGGCATAGTAGC